GGAGTCGAAATCAGCCTGAGCAAGAGCGAGACCCATCTACTATAAATAGAAAGAATTAATTGGCCAACTAATATATAGAAAAATTAGCCGGGCATGGTGGCGCATGCCTGTAGTCCCAGGTACTTGAGAGGCTGAGGCAGGAGGATCGCTTGAGCCCAGGAGTCTGAGGTTACTGTGAGCTAGGCTGACGCCACGGCACTCACTCTAGCCTGGGCAACAAAGCGAGACTCTGTTTCAAAAAAAAAAGAATATGACGATCCTTAACAAAAATGTATTTTACTCAGCGGATGGACACCCTACATACCCTGACTTGATCACTCCACATCACATACATATAACAAAATTGCTCATGTACCCCATAAACTTCCAAAAATAAAAGACTGTTAGAACCATCCATTCTAGAAATGGCTGTAAGGAAAAGAAACCCAGAAGTATCTAGAGCCCAGCTGAGCTCTACTTAGCAACGCAATCCGTTACTCAGGTACACAAGACAGAAGCTCAAGGCAGATCCAACACTTCCTCTGATACCATCCTGGGCTTGTGCCGTTTTCCTTAAGATAAGGTGTCCTGGTCCACGGGCCTGTTATTCTGGGCAAGTCTACAGCAGAAGAATGGTTAGATATTAAGGGGCAGATGAAGGTGGCACTTGTAGCTTGGATTTTTCGCCCAAATTCTTTCCGCAGAGAAATACGAGAGCCTGTTTAAACGTTACTTACTGCCTGCTGGACATCAGTCTTCACCTGCTCGCTCAACATGCCTTCAAAGACAAAGGAGTCACCAAACTTCTCAGCCTATAAGGAAAGTGGGAAATAAAAATCCAGAAAAAGCTGTAGTAACATGTTTCACGTTTTCTTTGTACACTACCGTAGTGACTCTTCTTGTCCAAATGAACTTGAGTCTTCCTTATGACTTCTCAGAGGACTCAGAAATGACTTAAAAGCATCTCGCTTCCTCTTAAAACAGGTCAATGTCACTTACAGACACCATTTTCATATTACTGATAAGAATGCAGACTGGGCCGGGCATGGTGGCTCCCGCGTGGTGGCTCACGCCTGTAATCCCAGCACCCTGGGAGGCCTAGGTGGGAAGATCGCTCAAGGTCAGGAGTTCAGAACCAGCCTGAGCAAGAGCAAGACCACGTCTCCACTAAAAATAGAAAGAAATTAATTGGCCGACTAAAAATATATTGAAAAAATGAGCCGGGCATAGTGGCGCATGCCTGTAGTCCCAGCTACTCAGGAGGCTGAGGCAGAAGGATCAGGAGATCCGCTTGAGCCCAGGAGGTTTGAGTTGCTGGTGACTGCGGCTGACGCCTGGGCACCCTCGATAACAGAGTGTGACTCTGTCTCAAACAAAAAAAAAAAAAAAAAAAAGAATGCAGACTGAAACACATAGCTTTTGAGAACGTAACTGTTCCTGATAGAAACAACACATTTCCCCAGGTATGACAAATGACTCTGGAAAATAACAGTATTCTGTACATGTGAGATACATAAGTCAACGCTTTGTCCTTGTCCTGGTTCCTGGAATCTAGTAAAAGAATCAAATGGCACTGTGCTGATAATGGCTCCTGACACACTCTATAATCGGCCCGACTAAGGTGTCAAATATGCTGTATAAATTCAGACCTCAAAGCAGCCATTCAAGCACCAGGGAGAAAATCTAATTATTAATAAATATTTAACATTAAGTGTCTCCATCCTTGTCTCCCTGGTTCTCCTTTCGTGCGTGTACCCTATTCTAAAAGGGGGTCTTTGTCCTTGTAGTCCATACTCCACTCCTCTAGTTTTCGTCCTGCAACTTCTCACTGCTTCACTAATCTCCCTGAAACACTACAATGCTCTCTTCCAGCCCTAAACACCACCTGCCCTCCCCTTGGCCCTCTCTCTGTCTTGCATGATACCAGGGCCTCTCCAGGCTTTTGTGTTGAGATTACGTGCCTCAGCCTTAAAACTACAGACTGCGCTCCCAACCCTGGAGACTGATGATTTCGGGGGTGTAGTAGACAAGACTCTCATGGGTAAAACGCACAGCTGGTGTTCTAACGCAGGGCTTGAGCGGATACAGAAGTACACACTCCAAATCGCCTGCTGGACAACAAACCTCTTTCAATCTCCACCCTTAACAACAGCCAGTGCCTTCCAAGTGACGTCTCACATCTCTACTCCAGTCACTGTCCTGTTCTCATTAGATAATGAACCTGAGTACTGAACCCTATAGTTTCAGGAACTTACGAATGCCTCAAACTCTTTTCCTGCTGAGCTCATCAATGCTTTTCTTCAACCCCTGAGCTTCTTCCTGTAATCCCCCTGTGAAACCACCAAGGCTAAATACTGAAAGCCATTTATGTCATTCAACAAACATATCTAGGCTGCATACAGTACCGAAGGAATGAAACAAAAAGAAAAAAATAAAAAAAAACATTTTTTAATATATTTAAAAAAACAAAACCGGCATCAACCCTACAATGTACCCAGAATGGGGCTAAATGATAGGGATACAAGGTCAGTATCAGGTACGCATGTCCCCATCCCTACGCTGCTTAAGGTGGGGCACACACAAAAGTCAAGCCAGGCCGGGCGCGGTGGCTCAACGCCTGTAATGCCACACTCTGGAGGGCCGAGCGGGTGATTGCCTCGAGTCAGGAGTCGAAACAGCCTGAGCCAAAGAGCAAGACCCCGTGCCTCCTACTATAAATAAAAGAAATTCAATGCCAACCGAATAATATATATAAATTAGCCGGGCGTTGCTGGCGCATGCCTGAGCCCAGCTACTTGGGAGGCTGAGCAGGAGACGCTTAGCACCAGATTTGAGTGGCTGTGACGAGCTTGACGCCACGGCACTCCCTCTAGCCTGACAACAAACAGACCTTCTCAAAAAAAAAAAAGTCAAGCCCAAATAAAGAAAGGAGAAAACAACAACTTCCCTCACCCTGGAAGTAAAGAGATCAGAAACCTCCTTCGCTGGAGGGCAGAAGCCACCCTCCCCCTGAGAAAGCTCAGATGACTCGAGCTGAGAAGAGCCAGCCATGCAAGCGGAACGAGCCAGGGCGCGCCAAATCCAAGCAGACGGAAAACAGCAAGCTCCCCAAAAGGAAAGAATGCTGAGTTTTCAAGGAACAGAAACAAAACCAGCAGGGCGACACCTGTGCGCACAAAGAGCGCGTGACGTAAAATAAAGCTGAAGATGGGAAAAACTGTAAATGCATAAAAATATAGGAAAACCAGCTTTTGTCCAAGACAGGGGTCTGGTTCTATTGTTGTTTTTTAATCTTATTTTCTTATTTCAAAAGTATCTAAGGGTACAAATGTTTTTGTGTTCAATGGATACTTCTAATAATGCTAAGTGTTGCGGGCTTTAGGTGCCATTAGCCAAATAGTGTTCACGAACCCAAGAGAGAT